AAAAAAAAAAATTCTCTCTTTCTCTCTCTCCTCTCTCACTCTCTCTTAAAAAAAAAAGACAATAAAATGTCTAAATGTCTTGATTCTTTAGGCTTCAATATCTATGGCCATAAAATACTCATATATAGAAAAAAACTTCAAAGATGTTTGCTGGGTTGGTTCATTGTTGTTTTCTATCTCTGCAAGCAATGGCTAACTCACCTCAATTGCCAATCACTATAAAGTCAAAGACTGAATCTTACTTCTCTTCATATCCTCAGAACCAGGTGCAGTGGTCAACAGAGACTGAATTGGGGAATTGGAGAAAGGAACATAGAATAAGTTCAATGGGAAGCAGAAATTCAGATCTCTCAATGTGTAATGGAGGACTTGCCAGGTATGGCGCACCATCTCCTACAATATATGTGAATGCACTCACTTAGTCTTCATGGCAATGCCACGTTGCAGATATTATTGACTCTCAGTTTTACCCATAGACAACTGAATCATGAAGATAAAGACTATGTAAAAAACTACAAAAAAAATTAAGAAAAATAAAAAAGACTATCCAGGAGATGGAGCCAAGATTAGAATCCAGCTGGTTTGGCTCCAGAGCCTAAGCTTTTGACCATTGTGCCCTGCTCCCTCCCAACCCTGGATCTGCAGAATTAAGGCAACATTTGCTATGGGAATACATAGCTCCATCCTTAGGCCTTTATGAATAATTTGAGTTTTAAACAGAAAAACTAAATATTAATACACATGAAAAAATGAGATAAATTCTACTCTTTCTCCATTCAAAGTTTAGTCTCATGAGCTACTTCTTTTAATCTTGCATGACATGTCTTGTTGGCTGTTTTAGCTCTTCTTAAAGGCTTTTATGACTAGGCTTTATGTGCATAGGACAATGGTCCCACCAAAGTAGAACACAAGTTGATGTTAAAAAATGGGGCAAGATGAGCAAGGACAAATGTTCTCAAGACCTGGAAAGTACAGTCTGGATCTAAATTTAGATTTAATACTAGAGTTTCTAAGATGATAAAATGAGAAAGAATAGATCCAGGACAAGTGGTACCAAAGAGCCATGAAGGAAAGGTGCAAAGTCATTTGGCATGGTGGGGGAGAGGGGTCAAGGAATGGCCATACACAGTTGAAGCCTAATCATCAAGCTGCAGGTGATTAAGAGATGGGCTTTGATATTTAAATTTCTTTTTATTAATTAATTTATTTTCTTTTATTTTTTTTGGCACCAGGGATTCAACCCAGGGGCATTTAGCCACTGAGCCACATCCCCTGCCCTTTTATTACATTTTATTTAGAAACAGGTTCTCACTGAGTTGCTTAGGGCCTCACTAAATTGCCAAGTCTGGCTTTGAACACACAATCTTCCCATCTCAGCCTCCTGAGCTGCTGGGATTTATAGGCATGTGCCACCATGCTCGGCCAAGAGATGGGCTTTTAATTCCTGGAAATGGGACAGAACAGGACAGGGAGCAAGAATAAAAGCAGAAGCCCAATCCTAGGATCTAAGTTACACAGGGTCAACAAGATTGGAACAGAGTGGGCAAAAAAGGATGCTAAACAAGATCCAGCTGGTGGCATAGGAAGCACAGAGGTTAAAGCAGGGACATGAGTGCCAGGACTGAAATGCACAGTTTGGGCCCTGACAGGGTGATTACTCTATGGTCCTACCTGCCATGGAGAAGAGGCAACTTACATATGGCTTTGTCCCTGACTTAGATTGTTATAAAAAACTGGGTAATGTTGAGCTATAATGTAAAGTGATCAAATCATCAAACTCCAAAATTGGGAAAGGCAGGGGAGATGAAGCAGGGATTGGTATGGGATGCATAATGTAGCCTATAATTACAACATGATTTGGTTTAATCTAATCCAAGATGCAACAGTAATACTAATAAATGCACACATGTTTAAATGCATAGGTGTATGCATGTATGCACATGCGTGAGTGCATGTTTATACCACCAAACTCAAGCAAAAAGGGAAAAATAAGAGCCCCTTAGCATGGGATCCTTGGGCAGGCCTAGTACTTTCTTGTGCCCCCTCTGGTTGACCTGCTCATACTCTTTTGTTTAGACCCATGGATGTGTGCTACTTGGCTCTGTCCCATATTTTTCCCTCTGTCCTATATTCAACATAGTGAGCATGAATATTAATCAGGTAATTTCTGTTCATTAGTTTTCTCAGCACAGTGTTCACTTCCTTTTGGTTTTGATGTGTCAATAAAGTAGAGAATTATCCCAGTCATAGCATAAATGACCCTGCTCAAACAAAACAATCCAGAAGAATGTGTTAGTATCAAAAATGGCAGGCTTCTTTTTGAAAAGTTTAGCACGTATCGAAAGAATACTGGCTGGCTGACCCACTTCCAAGGTCAATAGCGAAGAGTCAACAAAAATGCACAAGCACAAATGTTACAAAAACTTCCAATGCTGAGAAAGATTATTTGCAAAGATAATTTGGGCAGCCTTGGTGCCAAGAATATATCTGGAAATTGATCACAAATCTAGCTTTAATTTTTTAAGCTCATTCTCTCTCTCTCTCTCTCTCTCTCTCTCTCTCTCTCTCTCTCTCTCTCCTCTTACTTCTCATCTCTCTCCCACTTTCCTCTTGCTGTTTTTTTCCCCTATTTTATGCATAAAAATGCAACCAGCCTGAACTAAAGCAAATTGGTTTAATTCCCTGGAGGGAGCATGAACAAATTTTCCCAGCAACTTTCTACTAGAGGCATTTGTGTGTGGGTATGTGGATGGAATGTGAAGCAGGCAGCTACATAAACCAGTAATCAAATGAAACATTACCCATTTCAAAATGCCCTAAAACAGCATTAGCATCACCAATTAAAACACTAGGCATGGGAGAAAGGAAAATGGCAAAAGGAACAAAAAAGAAATGTGTATGTGGCATGTGTGTATCCCAGGAGGTGGAGGTGATACACGGGAGGTGAACAATCTAGGGGGAATGAATTCTTCTCTAAAGGCAAATCTGTCACAGGATTGTTAGCAGGAGGTCTCTTTGATGGGATTGAAGAAAAGAGTAAGGAATACATTCAATAATTTCATCAAATTGAAATTTCAGGAGTTTACTCAAATTGTCCTGCCATTACACATTCACAAAGCCGATTCTATGTGCTCATTCCGAGCCCGTTCTAAAATCACAGGTAAATAAAATAAGATAAACCATAAACACTAAGATTTGTCTTCTCCTTTATGGCTTAGACTTAGTTAGGAAGCCACTGGGTCCTTCAAGGGAATGAAGGAATCATTCATTCATTTATCCTACCTTAATCAATGAAAGAGTACTTTGTGCAACCCTGAATGCTGGGGGTGCAGAGAATCAGAAGTCACACTTAGAGATCTCAAAGAGCCCCCCAGCCAAACTCCTTCCACATTCCATCACAAGACTGTCACAAAACAGTCCCTTCGTCCTCATATTTCTATGGGCATAAACAGCATGAGTGTCTCCTTTCAAGACTGTTCCTATAATCCAATGGGCTCTGACTATGACCCATGACCTGGGATGGAGGGAACCAGCAGCCCCCTCCACTTAGGACCCCCACATGGAGCACCTGCAGCCTGCACATCTGCCGAGCTCAGGGCACTTGTTTTCCTGAACTCTTTTCCCTCCAAATGATTTTCCTGAAAAAATCTCATCAAAGGCATGAAAGAGGACCATTACCAGTTGCCCCTCAGATTGGCCCACTTTCCAATTTTCCTCACAGATCCACTGTTCTCAGCTGCAGGGCACAGATACTGCAGCTCCCAGGCATGATGGCTGGACCATCCACGTTTTCAGATTTACCCGCTACCACAAACCTGGCCTTGGGGTCTGGGCACATCTTTTTGTTGTTGTTGTTCTAATTAGTTATACATGACAGCAGGATGCATTTTGTTTCATTGTACACAAATGGAGCAGATCTTATTATCCTTCTAAAGACAAACTTTTATCTCCCTTCTTTGCCTTTAGGCTTTTACCACGGCCTTTCTCTCCCATTCTTCATTTATAAGATTCTTTATACATTTACTTGTGTTACTTATACGCAAGGTTATAATCATTATTGAAAAATTGCTCAGGTATAAGTAAATTAAATTATATTATGGCCACTTCTACCTCTGGAGATTATAATAATATTAAGAATTTTGAAAAAAAAAAGAATTTCAACTAGATCTTAATTAAAAACAAAATTAAAAATGTAAAATAAAATTAGGCATATAAATCTACTAAAGTATATAGATACTACAGTAATCTAATAATGTTATAAAAAACAAATGTGTCATCTCTTCCATTCATAATTCTTTTCATTCCATCAGAAGCCTTATTCATAGTTTCTTCCTGTCTTAGAATAATTGATTGCTATAACAAAATACCTGAGGCCAAGTGACTTATTATGTGTAAAGGTTTATTTGGCCCTTGATTTTATTGGCTGGAGAATCAAAAGAGCATGGCACCTGCATCCTGGCAAGGAGCCCCCACCTGCATCACAACATGGTAAAGAAGAAGAAAGGGAATAGGCCACATGCAGAAGAAGTCACACATATGAGTGACTTAGCTTTATAACTTCTCACTCTTGTGGTACTGATCTAGTCCCATAAGAGCCAAATCTCCAAGAGGTGCCATTAATTCATTCACGAGACGTGGGGCCCCCATGACCTAATTATTTTCCATGAGGCCCTACCTCTTAGATTTCTTACCACCTAAACACTGCCATGGGGAACCCAGCTTCCAGTTCATGTCCTCTTGGGGACAATCAATCTAAACATTGCATTTCTATTTGAAAAACAGCTTTCATCTCCTGGTAGCCCCAAGTCTCTGTTGAGTGAGGGTGACGAGCTTCCTCTGTGGCCTGCCTGGCTGGAGCCCGACAGTGCCTACCTTCACAGGAGTGGCGATCTTGGTAGAAGCCTTCCCCACAGGTGGACACGCACTGCCCACGCCGCATCAGCAGGGGAGGCTGGCAGGAGGAGCACTCCAGCCCACTGGAGCACGTGGAACACTGAGGCTGGCAGGCTGGCTCCAGACAAGGATCAAGAAAGGAAAAGAAACAATTGATGAGTTCGAAAACACCACCTCAGGGCTGACTCAGCTCAATCCTGAGCCTCTGGAGTCCCAGAGAAAAAGACAGGAGCCAATAATATTTCCATAGCATGTGGTTGTGTCAGCCATTGTTCAAGCACTTTATATATATACCAATGCCTTTAATGTTCACAACAACCCTATGAGGTAGATAACCTTAATCCCAATTTTATGAATAAAGAACAAGCTCTGAGAGGTTAAGTAAACCTGTCCAAGTCTACACAGAATTGGCATTTGAAGACAGGCAATTTGGTTCAGGAGTCTATGATCTTTTCTTCTCATCTAATAGCTCCCAATATCTTTGTCACTCAACCTTTTTGCAAATATATTCCTTGCCTCTTTTCCTCCACATCTTATGGTAGATAAAATAAATAACTTTCCAAAAGGTTGAAGATCATAAATCAAAAGAGAAAGTGGGGAGAAGTGAATAATTACAAGAATAATAATAAAAGTGGCTAACGCTTACTGAGCCCTGTCTATATTCTAGACACTATTCTAGGTGCTCAGCAGGTATAGACATGCTTGATCTTCACAAAAACTCTGAAGAAGGTACTAGGATTACCTCCACTTTACAGATAAGAATATTGAGCAAAAGAGAGGCTATGTAGTCACTGCCAGGCTATGACCCTATGTGCTCTTAAATGAATAATTAACCTCCAAAATCAGGGATAAGGGAGAAAGTAACTAGATCTGATGTCAACCAAGCTAAAGTCTCCCAAGTAAGAGCTCCTTCTCAGATGTACAAAAATTATGAAATGCACCTGAACCCTTCCGGAATCCTCAGGTAGCTCAAAAGAGATAAGCTCTCTTAACAATGACCTGTGTGATACGGAGCAAGTCAATTAATTGGCATTAACTTCCCTGCTTTAGGTTCCTCATGTGCAAAACTGGAAAGTTTTAGTAAGTAGTTTTGAAGGACTATGTCAATTGTAAATTTCTATCATGGATTAAATGAGTGTTTTAATAAAAGACACCAAACATGCCAATGATATCACTATCCTTGAAAGTCTTCAAAAATGAAACAAATCCAGCTATGACTCCCTAGCAACCATCTGACTTCTAGACCACCTTTTTCCCAGTTAATACTGAAATACTTTTAAATGTGAGAAGAAAGAGACCTGAAGGTGGAGAGGCCAAGTAGCCAATGGATGGCATTAGCACCTTCCAGTGGTTTTTAGATATTGTGCATTTCCTGCATACACAACCCCCTCCTTGACAGTACTGAGCCTCCGTTTGAGAAGACCAATCTCTGAGGAATCTCTCTATCCACTACACAGTGCCACGTCCAGCTTTCCCACCAGGGCCATACCTAAGCAGAGACTGCCAGCTTGGTAAAATCCCGGACCGCAGCTGTGCACACACCGTCCATTCTGCAGCAACTGTGTGGGATCCTGGCAGAGGTCACAATGATCCGGAGAGTGAGAGCAGGTCAAGCAGTCTGGATGACAACGGACTGAAATTAAGGACAAAGAAGAGAAGAGCTCGGTCAAGACCTTAGGATATTTTCATACCCTTCAGAAAAAGAATCCACAGGCTTTATTCATACGTATTACAGACAAGATGAAGGACAGAAAACTGTAGAATGGAGGTGTAAAAAGGCCCCCCAAATAGTGAAAAAATGCATTTCAATACAAGATTCTAAGGAACCCCTCCTTGTCTGAAATACCACCAACTGCCTTCATAGCCCAAATTAAAGATGCTAAAAGAACAGCCTCGTTAGTGTCTCTACCTGCTGAGAGGATTCTAGAAACAGGAGCAACTCTCTCCACAGTATGTGATTTAAACAGAATCAATAATTTACAATATCTGAGATGCTCCTCTTAAGCTTGGCACACACAAAAAGGACAGACATGAAAACCTACAAAGTTTAAAAACAATGATTATTATCTTTTCCAAAACAGCCCATTTTCTTCTTTTTCTCCAGAATCTTAAATCTCATTATCAGTAATTGGGGACATCACTGACCTTAGTGTTAATTGTCAGCAAAAGACTATTTTCAGGTTCTGAAGTCATCGAGGGCCTGATTTTCGATGTATAATGCATAATAATATGTTAAAATATTTGTTTTGGAAAGCCCAAAGAGCCACTGTGGTGAAGGTAACATAATTAAACTATAAAGCTGCTTTGCTTTTCCCTTGATAAACTCTCCAGTGAAACACCGTGATTAGCCAAAATAAGTGCATGTAACAAGAGCAACTGCCAAGGTGAAAAACTGTGGCCCATGGATGAAAACAATTAATTATGAAATATGAATGGAAGAAAGTGCCATTTCTCTAAGAGAGAACTAAGCTTATATGCGAATTACTGCTCAGCCACGGCAACTCGAGAGCTTGCCAACAATTATTAACTGGAACTAATTCAACCCCAGGTGATTTGAAAGCAGAATTGCAGAACAAGTAGATAAAATTTTCTTTTGGAAGAAATTAATGAGTCTTTAAACTTTAAAACCCCATTTGAGAACTCCAAAAGGAACCATCTGCTTAATAGCTCACCTTAAAATAAGAAAGAATAAACGTACATAACAAAATTTGTGTAATTATTCTTGTATTTTCAATACTGGGAGACAGATTGGCCTTTACAAGTTTTCAAACATGTTATTTGATTTTCACCAAACTTTTACAACATAGATAAGGCATGTTTTGTCAACAAGAAAATTAAGATGAGGTCAATGCCTAAGGTCACACAACTGTAATCAGTTGAGTTTGTCAATTATAGGGTGAAGATTCACTAGAATTTTTTTGTTAGAAAAATTAAGGAGGGTGGGGGGGCACTGGGATTGTGGCTCAGTGGTAGAACGCTCGCCTTGTATGTGCAGGACACTGGGTTAGATCCTCAGCACCACATAAAAATAAATAAACGAAATAGAGATATTGTGTCTAACTATAACTAAAAAATAAATATTTAAAAAAAGAAAAATTAAGGGGGGGAATATCCTCTCAAATCAAGTGACTAAAGAGAAAGACATAAGGGAAGAAAAAGAATTTCCCTGAAATTTTTGCCAGAAAAACCATTTTATCAGAAATACACGGCACATGGACCCACCTGAAGTGCAATCTGGGCAACACTGTCCCTTCACCTGCAGGGCTACGGTGGCCACTGGACATGGCGGGCAAGAGGGCTCGTAGCAAGTGACCTGGGCGCCCCGGCACTCACACACCCTGCAGGGACCGTCTTCCCACTTGTGACCCTCCTGCATGGAACAGAAAGGATGACAATGGCATCAAGTTGCATGGATTCAGAATCTGTAACGAACTTCCCATATCCATAAGGACAGAGAGAAGGCACTCACCACTCTACCCATACCAGCTCTGGAACAGGACACAGCAGAGGTGTCCCACACTAAAACGGCAAAAGTTCTCCTTCTTTGTTTATTGTTGGTTTCTTTTGACAAAGAGCACCAGTTGAATGATTTTTAGGCAGACTCTGAGATAAACTAAGAAAGTACTCTAAGGGCTACCAGAATATATAAACACTTCCAAAACTTGTTTCTCAACCTATTTTACACACACAAACACACACACACACACACACACCTGTGACAGCAAGGGGATTACAATGCACCTAGTGATAAATAGGTACCTTAAATACAATCATTAAATAACAGTGGGAACCTTGATTTCAACGCTGTTGAAAGAGCAGCAGGCAGGTCACTGTATTCTTAAAATTGAGGGCTGTTTTTTGTGGGTAGTAGATGTGCCATGAGCTTTCCCACAATGAAATATCTCTCTTGGACAAGGAAGTTATAGCAATAAACATGAACGGTTTGACAGACAATCCAAAGCGATTCTAAGAACAATCCCCTGTTGCTCACTATCCCACTCAGCCTGAAGACTGAACAGAGGCAAAGGTCCTTACCAGAATGTACTGAGATAATGAGGAAAGGAAAATAGGACAGTACAGGAGAGTGGATTTCCAAACAAAGGTCAACAGATGTTCATAAGCTAACTGATGTTTTGTATCTCAGTTAATGTGACAGTACTCAACAAAATGGAAACGTTAGAATGCTGAGGAATATCATTTTGAAAAGGCAGAAGTGATGTTCTTCCATTTTAAGGCAGCCTGGATTCCTTCCCCTTATTCCTAACATCCAAAATTACAAGCTTGTTTGTGTGAATCCACATGTTTGCACTTTCCCTTTAAGAGATGCCACACAACACTGTCTTGTAAACAACTTAGAGGGAATCAGTGCTCAGCATTGTTGGGGGAACGAACACTGCACAACTCCAAGAAGTTCCTTCTTCAGTGACAAAATGCTTAATGATACCACCTTTAACAATGTGTTGTAGGTAGGCCTCAGTGTCATTTCAGAGACAAGGAAAAATAAAGACTTTATATTGAAGTAGCTGAAAATCCACAATGACAGACTGGAAAATACAATAAAGCTAAGCATATTTAAAAAAAAAAAAACTAATGAGTTTTAAGTTGAATAGATAACTTGAGACAAGAAAACTGTTAAATACCATTCCAGAAGAAGCTTTGGATATGTAAAACTTATTTTTAGATAATGAGCTGATCAATTCTACTGTTTTATAAAACATTCCTTTGTTAAAAATAAATCAAAACTAAAGCTGTATTAACTGTTTGAGTGGCTCAGGGTCCCCTCTAGCATATGATGGCTGCAATGTACCCACTGCATTGCTAATGATCCCACATGGATAATGCCATATCCAGTCTTCTTGGAGTTATGCAGTGATGGTTCTTCAATGCCTCAAAACACACTGACAGTGGAAAATCACGAGGAGAAAATCATCACAAGAAAGGGAAAGAATGTAAGTAGGTATTGGTAATTAGAGAAATGTTAATGTCAGTTACAAAAAGCAATAAGGTAAGGAAAGGAGCAAAAAATGTAATGGTGAAAGTCTTAGTTATCATCAAGATCATTAATTTGGACGATGGTGCCACCAAATGAGACTGTCAAAAATACTAAGCTACTATTTCCCCATAGTAGTTCATACAGATAATTATTTTAAAAATTTTATAATGATCCATATACAAGTTAAAAAATCTATACTTACTGGAATATATTTAATTTCACCTGCATTTGAGGATATCTAAGAACAAAGAGAAATGTATTCATTAATTCCTTACTACAAACATCATTATGCTGATCTATTTATTTTTTCATTAGGAGTTATCCATTTTCTCCCAAATAATGTGTGATTTCATTGACTTGTTATGAATAGAAATAAAATCCATCTATATTAAAAACAAGCAAAGAATAAGGTGACCATAACAGGCAGCAGAAAGAGTTTGGAGTACTCATTCTAGCCTTGTGGTCGAGCATTTGGCTCCAATGCCCCTTACTATAAAGGGCTTCCTGGTCAAGTAGTCTAAATTTCTAAAGGTGAATCCTTGAATTTTGTGTGTTACCAGAGCATTGTGGAGATTTGTACTTATTTACAAAAATTTGGCTTTCTTTAAATCCAGTGAGTTTAATTCACTTCCAAAAATGAGTGGGAAAATGGATAAAATGAGAAAATACAAAATCAACACTTGAAGGGAACCTTTAAATCTCCGAAATTCTTTTAAAATTAGGACATCTAAACTATGAAATACAACTATGAGAGGAGCAAGAACAACAGCATAATGACAATGCCATTGTTTTCAGTTTTTCTTTTCAATATGCCAGGTGCTGTCTTAAGCACTCGACACTCAATAACCACACCAGGTGAGTACTGATGTTATCCCTACCTTACAGTGAGGACCCAGTAACTTACCCAACATCGCAGTTGGTGTGTGGCAGAGCAGGGATTGGAACCTAGAGCCTGCCCTGTTTTCATACACCACATTGCCTCCCCAGAACACACAGAAACACTGGCAGGCTGGCAGGCTGCAGTCCAGCTGCCAATCACTCACCAGTCAAAGCACTTCATCCTAATTCTTATTATCCTATTCTGATTGGTCAATGAAAGAGTTGTACTTTTGATCAATTGACATGTTTTTAAGAACATGATGAATTTGTCAACATTTTAAAACCCCATGTGGAAAATTTGAGCTATAAAGGCAAATATATATCTCGCAAATATATATTTATCTCCCAAATATACATATACCTCACAAATATATATATATATCTTGCAAATATATATATATCTTGCAAATATATATATATACCATATATACATATACACATATGTGTGTGTGTGTATATATATATTCGTAGTTGGGCACAGTATCTTTATTTTTATTTATTTATTTTTATGTATTGCTGAAGATCAAACCCAGTGCCTCCCATGTGTAAGACAAGTGCTATGCTGCTGAGCCACAAACCCAGTCCCCCAAAATAGGGCAAATTTGAAGCACTTAATATTTTTTCCTTGGTGTTATATAATTAACAATTTACAGACATGATGTGAAATAAAACTTTAGCAAGTGAAGTTTCATCCCACATCCAATCCCATCAAAATCCTGTCATTTCTATCTGCAAAATAAAGTTAGGGCCTGATCCATTTTGACCACTTTCACCACTCCCCCCAAGTCTAAGCCAGTGTTACTCCTAATCTGGACTACAGCAAACATCTCTGAACCGGACCACCTACTTTCAGCCTTGTTGTCTATATGGCAGCCAAACTGATCCTTTCTAAGTCAGATCATGGCTCTGCTGGACTTCAAACAACCCCTCCCCCTGAACCCCAGCCAGCAGCTCTCATCTGCTTCAGGGTAAAAGACCCTGGCTTCCAGGCCACCTTCTAAGCCTCATCTCCAACTCCTTTACCCTCCTTTGCTCTCTTCTTGGTATATTCCATCTTGCTACTTCTTACATAGGTCAAGTATGCTTTTGCCTCAAGGCCTTTGAACTTGCTGGTCCCTATCCCTGGTGTGTCCCCCACAAATATAGGTGGCTCACTCCCTTACTTCCTTCAGGTTTTGCTCAAATTTCTCTGTGTGAGAGGACTTGCCCACTCATCTTATGTAAAAGAAAACTCTCCCCCAACCAAGCCCAGTTACTTAGGCTGCTTTATAGTTTTAGGTAGTACTCATCAGCACCTGTAATGGTAGGTGGGGTCTGTGTCCCCACCCTAGATAGTATGTTCCACCATGAAAACAGGGACTTTGCCTGTTGCATTCACTTCTATATCCCAGTGCCTGGCACATACTAGGTGCACACACAAAAATATCTCCTGAACAAATGAAGGGTTAAAGGAAACTAGAAGGTAATGGAGGTCCCCTTCTAAAGTTAATTTCAAATGATTAATTTTTAATGATATTGAGTTATTAGCCTGATACTCACAAATTCTGCCTTTTCTTCATACACACAATGGCCATTCCTAGAAATGCATTCAGGGCAGCATTTTCCATCTAAGTGAATTAATTCTTCTCCCTGTAGAAATAGGATTTGTAGTGGCACACATCAAATTAGCATGTTCAGGTAGCAGTGCTAAATTGTGAGAAGCTGGATGCCCTGACGGCAGTGAGAAACCTTGATACACCCTTTATTTGGTCTCCTTGTGCTGTCTTCCTGTGGAAGGTCTAGTACTGTGGCACCAAGTGCTGCTTCTCTCATGCCTATGCTGTGATCCCCGCCCTCCCCACCCCCCAACTGCCAATGTATGAGCAGATGCTCACATGAATACAAAGAATGGCCAAGGTTCCTGTTGCAGTCTTGGAAAGGTGAGTTTCAGGAACGGATCATGTTGCCTTAAAGACACAAGATTAGAACTTAGGACTCTGGTTTCATCAGCAGTGGGCAAATCACAGCAACATGTTTTCCTTGAATACAAAAATCAGATATAGATCTCTTTACACAGAGTTGTAATCTCAGGCATAAACTGATTTTTATTCAGCATTGTAAAACTTGTACTGTTAGCCAACTCACATCTAACTTTTAAAAATTATGAAGAAAAGAAATGCCACTCTTAAAGGGTAGATGTTTGACTAACAAAATCTTGTCACTTTAATGCCCCAATATCAATAATTTCAAATTGTGATTTTAATGACAAAATAATAAATGCTTGCTGTTTAAAAATTAAGTAATTCGGAATTCTATGGCTTTAGAAAGTATAATTTCACTGTAGTCCTATCTTTCAGGGAATCAGCTATTAATAATACAAAGTGTAATTTGCCATATACATACCCTAATATCAAATACTTATAGGGTAGAGAGTATGCTTTAAAGAATGTTCTACTTTCTAAAGATACATCTATTTTTGAAAGAATGATATTTCTTTAGATATTTAATATTTAATTTGGGGTCTATATTATATTTAAAAGTACAGAAGCCATATTAAATAAAAACTACATAAACAAAATAATCATGATGACATTTTATATTTGTGAACACTGAACTAAAGATAACATTGGTTGTCTTTGGGTTGTTGCATGGATTTTTAAGTCTCTTTTCTATTTTTCTTGAGTCTGTCTTCAAAATTTCCAGCATGAATATATATTATTTCAATGAAAGAAAATATGAACTTCCAAAAAAACATAAAAAGACGAGAATGATTATTTCTTTTTATAGTGCCTAAAAAGTTATTTCAAAAAGAAGGGAGTTATGTAGATGACTGTCCATCAAAATTTCATGCCTATCAGAGGCCAGCAGAGAGCAGTGGGTGCTAAAGGGATCAGACATATTTACATATAAATTGTTTTGCAGAAACTCAAAGAATCAGCTGGTAGTGAAGGCATCACTAAGAAACAGATTGAAATTTGCTTTCAAAGTATATAGAGGGGTTTATATGCATGTAATCTAAGTTGCTTAAAACAATACTTTGAAACAAGGCAGCATTTGTGTACTCCTATTAAAAACAAAACACAGGAAGAGTTCTGGAGTGCCCGCCATAACACACAGACAAGAAGGTGGCTACACAGAGCTTTCAACTCTAAGGTAAATACCAAAGGGCCCTGCTCCTGGAGAGCAAGGATTCAGTTTTGGTGAGGTAGTCATTCTAAATAGGTTTGCTATTTATAGAAGAAGCCCAGTGGCCCCAAACCACAGCAGTTCACTGCAGGGGGGAAGCCAGAGCTGGCTCCAATTAGCATTTGACTTTTGCTGTGAACAAAATTGTTTTGTGAAACAAAACTTATTCTTTCCTTTTTCAAGAGGATTCTTCTACATAGGTCAGATTGAATCTGCTACTCTTTCCCCACCTTCATCCATCAGACCAAAGTCAAATCTGATTCCATTCATTTACTTTTCCATTGGAAAAGTAAACATTCTTTCGAGGGAATTTTCCTGACATGTAGGCATGCCTACACTCTTCCTTGCATTTCTCTACAAGCTTCAATCCCCCCACTATATCATGCCTCAGATGTGAATGTAGGTCCTTTAAAAAAAAAAGTAATTTTACTTTATCTGAATTTATGTTCAAAGACTTTATAAAATACAGAAAAATGAAATCCATCATGTGGTATTTTTCTACCACTGATTTATTGATGTTTCAATGTTTAGGGATTTGATTGGATAACAAAGACAAAGATCATACCATTTTTTCCCTATTTTAACAAATAAAAATCATGTGCTGGTTTCAATGCTATTCAGAAAAATTACTGTTGATAGCAAGTGTGATAATGATAATAATGGCAAAGTTGCACAATTTGGCCTCTCCTAGAAGCTTCTGCATCTTTTTCTAGATGTGCTGACACTAACTTTTAACCCACCTTTGGTGTCCAAGATTAGAAATCAAATGACCTTGATATTTCAGAGATGGAAGCAGAAAGTGGAGTAGAATTCAATAAAAAATAACAGTAATGCATTTTCACTATTCCCTTGATAGACAGTCATTTCCCCGGGGAGCTCCTAAAGCATTTAATTCATATTTTCATAATCCTTGGTGCTGCAGTATTTCTGTTTATACATCTGACTTCCCCCAAAGCCTGGGAACTCTTGAGGTTAGAATGTGTCTTATTCATCTTTTTATTACCATTGATACACACTAACCAGAAGGTAGGAGTAAGACTCTGTCTCTGTTCAGAGCTCACTGAAAGTAGATGGCTAAAGGACACTCCCTACTAGGGTCATCTCTTCCTATTTTCCATAAATCTTGGGATCTTAGACAATTTAACTCAGAAAATAATCCAACATCCCCCAGGAGGGCTGCCAAGGGAAGGAAACCTTGCCTCAGCCTGAGAGAGAAAGAAAAGGGCCCTTATTAGGTTTCTTCTCATCTTCATCCAACCATTCTGACTCCCTAACATAAAGAAAAAGAAATGAAAAGGTGTGTGGGGGGGGGGCAGAAAATAGATCTGCAAACTAGCAAGACCCTCTTTACCTAAATGTTTCCACTCTGCCAAGACCAAGAAGTAGGAGGCAGAGTAAAAAAATTACCCTGTCAATGACAGCCTTGTTTGAAAGGTTGTTCCTCCTAAGGTTCAGTGCTGTGAAGAGCTGAGAAATGGGGGAGAGGAACTAGAAAGAAAAATGTCTTCACTGACACCCCCTGCTTCAGATCTTTCCAATTTCCCCTCATCTACACAAGTTCACAGCCCTGAGGGAAACTGGCGGGGCGGATGGGAGGGGTCAGGGAGAAGAAGCCGACTTTCAAAGCAATTTGTATTGCCCTGGGTCAAAATTGAGTTCAAAGAAAAAAAAAAGTAATTTCCTTAAAATATATATCTACAGTCCCAACAGGGGCAGCTTTGTTAGAAGCTTCTAGAAATTCTGCAGACAGCAGAAGTCAACAGAGGTCAGCAGAGTTAATTGTTTATGAGGTCTCCTTTGCTCTCTCTTGAAAACAAAACAAAAGCTGTTTTCTTTACTTTCCTCATCCACATGAGCAGTCCCCAGGTGCCAGAACTCCTTTCTGCTAAATGCAGCCAGTGAGGTCTGCAGCAGAAGCCCAGCCCCGGGCACACCTGTAGACCCTTGTTTTGCAAGCGTGATGAGCCGGGCAGGCCACCAGCAATGAGGTCCAGGCTGATGTCCCATGTCATGTCCTGGCCTTTCATGTCTCTGGCTCAGGGCTTCCAATCTGACCAGATGCACAGAGAGTGCAAAGCTAGTCTCAACAAATAGTGACATTCACTCTACACCACAGCATCTTTGTGTTAAAAGGCCCCTTGAAACATGAAAATCAACCTGATGGTCCCCTCTTCTGCCAAAAAGTAAGGAACTGGCGCAGGTCCACCCATCCCACTGGAAGGAGCTGCTACAGCCCAGAGAGGAATCCCTCTGCTTCTTACCTGGGCACACTCCACCTTAGCACACTCTCCAGTCTGGCAGGTTACCTGCCCACGGTCACAGACGCAGAACTCACAGGCTGAACCTTTCCACATTTCATCCTGGTACCGCACAATCCCATTAGATGTGCAGCTTCCGAAGGGAGACACACATTCCTCACAGCATTGTCCATGATGCCGAGCCCTGCTCTGACCCTGAGGAAACAGAGAACGGCAAGGGAAGAGCAGTCCTCGAAGGCAGTAGAAAACCCCAGCCGAAGGGCAGAAGGACATCAGACACAGACAGATGTGTACAACACAACCCACTAATTGACCCAGGGGATGCAAGCTCCCTTCCACCTCAATCTTCCTCCCTAGGAAAAAGACCTTTCATATCTTTACATAACATTATAAAACTTGCTTCCCTCAAAGGACACACTACACTAAGAAATGCATTTCTTAAATGACCCAGAATCAAACTTAAAAAATTCAAGCTTCACACTCTCAAATACCTTCTCACATCTCAGGGGTGGGCAGGCCTGTGTGTGACATCTGATCTCACCCTGGTCACAGGTACATGTTGTACAGGCATCTTCAGTCCACTGCTCACCATGCTGAGGAAGAAAGAAGAAAAGAAAGTGGAACACCAAATGTCACATACACCAAACATAAGATGCCAAAATCTTTTATTTTTTTTTTATGGAGCTAATTGACTGTGCTCCTGAGAAGTGACATAGGTAGGAATGGCTTTTAAGAAAACATCAGTAATTATCCAAAAGGAACTTTAGATGAATTTTCATTTGACTATACTGATTTCCAGATATGTTGAGGGCCCACTCCAGGTCAGGCATGTAGAGGCCCCGGCAACACAGATGAGTAGGAAGGCCCAGTTGGTTGTCTCCCCTGTAGACATTCTTTAGGTCTTCTTTTCCAGGAGATCCACCGCTCACTGCCATATGCCCATTTTCTCAGCTTCCCTTGCAGCTAAGGCACAGACATTTCTACCCAAGAAGACTTTATAATTAAGTTTGCTAAGTGGTAGAGGTCAAGGGAGAGGTTACCCTCCTACTCCTTTCTCCACCAATTTGTGCAATGATCATGTGAGGATGAGCTGCCTGCAAAGGAAGCCACCTTGGGGACTTGAGGGGACAAGATGAAGGTAAATGGCAATGTGAAGATATCGCTGAGATCTGAATCATTCAACCCTGCAGTTGGCCTACTCTGAACTTCTTTTTTTTTTAATATTGTTTTTAGTTTTAGATGGACACAATATCTTTATTTATTTATTTTTATGTGGTGCTGAGGATCAAACCCAGTGCCTCGCACTTGTGAGGAAAGCGCTCTACCACTGATCTACAGCCCAAACCCCCTCTGGACTTCTTGTTAAATGAGATAACAAAGGTTAAAATTTTAGCCACAGTTAGAGGGGCATTTCTGTTACTTGCAGCCAAAAATTTCATAACAAATACAAATACTGTGACAGATACCTGTCTACAGTAGATAAGAATATCACAAAAGCTGCATATATGCATGCCTACTGTGTCTGACAGTGCATATTCACACATACAGAAGTTATCCCAGTTAGCTTCTTGAATTCATATTTCAAGAGACACTTCTAGAATTTGTGAAACTTTTATTCCCAAATACTTAGTTCCAGATTCTCTACTGACAGCCATAATTCCTGTTTCTGTTTAGAACAATGTAACATTCTTTTGACTCATTCTTTTGTCTCAGTCAGGCACTTCTAAGACAGAACATTCACACCATCTTTCAATCTGTTGAACTCATCTTTATGTAGTACCCACTGTAGGTTAGACACAGGTGTCTAGATTATTCTATAGTTGCGGTTTCCACTACTCCCAGCCTCTTGCCTGCCTCTGCTGCTCCCATGTTTCCTCCCAGGGTAGGTGGTGGGGAGGTAGTCTCTGAATATCAGTGGATAAAATCCAGCCAGTGTCTGCAGACAGACATTCCCAGAGCCTGAAATCTCTGTGTAACCTGATGGTGACCAACGATAGTCCTTTTTTCCCCTTCAAGATGTATGAACAGTAAGTTCACCAAGGTTCACAAACCAGGTACTGCTTGCCAGCACATTCCTTTGTATTTCTAATCCCCTTCAACTTAATTTTTTTCATAAAGGCTTTCCATGAAGAGAAGAAGAAAGCCGTGTATGTACTGAGTTACTAATCCTGGCAAAGAGTCAGATGTGAGGGCGGGGAGGCATGGTGGTTGGCGGGTGCAGGGTAGAAGTGTGAGAATGCATGTCAAAACACCTACATACATGGGCATCAAAGCTTACCTTGTGGACTTGGCCAGCTACAGAGCAGGACTGTGCAGAGCATTGGGGACAGCAATTTCCAGGGTCTCGGACTATAATTTCATCCTTAACACCAAAAGAAAGAATAATCCATCAAAAGGAGATACTAATAAAATCCACATTGATAGGAAGATTTCACTCACAGCCAATTCAACCATGTGCCTCAACATCCATTATAGCAATTTCCTCTCATTTAGCACTTATTAGTCACCTGGGGCTCTGATAGGAATTAGCACTTCCAAGGTCAGTGTGAATCTTTAAAAAGTTTATATATGCCTCAAGTCCTGTTCCCTTCTAAGAACAAATAAGAACAAAAATAACAATGATACTTGGTTTTCTTCTAGGCACTGTTGTAAGTGCTTTACATGACCCTGGGAAGTAGATGTTCTTATTCCTTCTTCACAAATGAGAATAGTAAGGAGCAGAAAGGTTGTGTGACTTGCCCAAAGTTATACAGCTGACCTAGTAATGGCATATGGTTGGAACAGAATTTAGAGCACAACTTTGCCAACACTTAAGGGAACTCATAGTCTTCCTAAGTGACCTCTAAACTCAAAAGTGGAGGTGACCATTCCTTGATCAACTACTTCACCATTCTTTGGCATCTGTATATAAATCCACATATTAATATATATATGCATTAGGAAGGTCCTTAACATGAGCAAGAATTGGTCATACTTCCAGAAATCTGAAAATAGATGAGTGCAGAGCAATGTGGGGAAGAGAGTTTCAACCCCCAAACAACCCAGCCCACAGTACACTATCCCTATATTCTCACCTGGATTACCCTGCCCCCAGAATATCAGACCATTTGTCTCTTCTGCCCTAAAAGAATTTTCATAGTAAGCATTTTCTCATTAGTGCCAAAGAGTCAGTTACTTGCTCTGAATTATCACTACAGCCTTCTTCTCCTGCAGGAAGGTAGACTTGCTAAAAGTAGGAGAAGAGGAGTGAGGACAAACCACAAGTAGTAGGTCTTGGACAGAAGATACATCCAGAACAGCTGACTTCACTTTCTCTTATGAGAAGCAGAAGCTGAGACTCTACTATCAGTTACTTGTGTACACATTTTGCCAGAACAGGAAAGCCAGTGCACTTGGGATAGAGGAGAGGTCACAAAACCTTAATTTTTCATGGAAAATTCCAGTCATACCTCAGTAGTCCTTTAACCCAGTTTATATAACCAGATGGACTCATGCATTACTACCTAATAGGGATTCATTTCAAATGCCTCAACCACTAGATTTAAACCAACAACTATTTTTTGTTGTATTAAGGTAGTTTATTTTTGTATTATTCTATACAAAAAGCAATTTGACCACTGATGTCTAATAGAGGATGTGAAAGCTGAACAGGCACTGAAATAATTGAGCACTTCTTGACTTCAGATAACATTTTTTTTCAATTTGATGGGATTTTGGTAAGGAAGCAAAATAAAAGTATTTTGATGTCATACTTTATTTAGTAATTTTATTGCAGTAAAAAAATGAACAAAGCCTTCTACAATGTTAGAAAAACAGGAAACAAATGTCATGATTATAAATTTTGAATAGGCTTAGAGTTAGTATTGATCCATTTTTATCAACTTGGAATAGACACAATCACAGTCAAGGTTTTCTAACAGTACACTTTTGTAGCTATCATATACTTTAATACTTTTTCTAGCCTACCTACATGTGCCCTTCCAAATGTACAGTCTAATGCAGCAAACTATGGACTGTGGGTCAAATCTAGCTCATCACCTGTTTTTGCAAATGATGTTTTCTTTAAAGTTTTAACATCCATCCATTTATATAGGTTCTATGGTTTTGTGTTAGGATTGTGGAACTAAGTAGTTATTCCAACTTGATGGTACTCAAAACTGAAAATATTCAGTATCTGATTCTTTACAGAAAATGTTTGCTCCAAATCTAATATCATACTAATATGAGTTCTCACAAGGGCTCAATACAAAAAAAAAATACTAATGCCATTAAAATTGGGGATGGGACTACCAGTGAGGATATATTCAATTATGGTTTTTAATATTCCTTTAAAATAATTATGATAGAGAAATTTATAATGTGCTCAGAATGATAGTTCTTGACCAAATATCTTCCCACTATAGTGACTTAGAAAATATAGAAAGAAATGAAAACTCCATCACCAAGAACTCATAGTCATCCTCCTGCCATTGCTAAGAAAAACCTGTAGATATTGTATTTTTGTTTTGTTTTGTTTTATTTTATTTTTTTTTTGACTGAGCAATTCAAAGTACAAATAAGAAACATCAGCCAGGCATGGCATCACATGACTGGAATTCCAGAGGCTCAGGAGGCTGAGGCAGGAGGATCTCATGTTCAAAGCCAGCCTCAGCAAAAGCAAGGCAGTAAGCAACTCAGTAAGCAATTCAGTGAGATCCTGTCTCTACATAAAACACAAAATAGGGCTGGGGATGTGGCTCAGTGGTCGAGTGGCCCTGAGTTCAATCCCTGAAATAAATAACTAACTAAATAAATAAATAAATAGCAAGCATCATCTCTTCTCAACCTTTTGCCTTTCTAGTCCTTCATTCCTCCACTGTGTGCTATTTGAGGCAGTCAGTGCCAACTCTGGCTTTTCACTTCCCTCAATATCTTTTCACATCTAGTCCAAGCCCATAATGTCAAGAACAATAAAATGAGTGGGAAACATGTGTATTGGGGAAGTAGGGGGCGGAGGGTGCCCCAAATGTAAAGAAGTACAATCACAGAGAAATAAAGGGGTGGGGGGAGGCTGAGGCAGGAGGATTGAGAGGGAAAACTTGTCAGACTCTGGGACTGAAAGATGCATATTTCCTAGTTTCTGGCTATGGGTCCAAGAAAGGGAATGACAGCCTACTTTGCCTTGTACTTTTAAGCAATGGACAGATTCCTCTTGATCAAAACTCTGTAGACAGGACCTTTTCATTTCTTTGTATATTTTCTAAGTCAGTAGGAGGAAGGGATGAATGAACTGTAGCGAAGGGGAAATATCTTCCCTCTACTCATTTTGGATTCATGATTAAGGCTCCTATAACAAAAAACCGATTAACAAGGGAAAAGCATCCCACTTTATTTAACGTAAGTTTTACCTGATATAGGAACCTTCATAAGGAAATAACCTTCATAAGAAAATAACCTTTTTTTTTTTCAACAGTAGGTTTGATGAAGAATAGACAGTCATGGAGAAATATAACCGGGTAAAGAGTATGACTAAATAGTAATAACCAAGAAAATGCAGCAAGGCCTGTTGAGATTCTTCTGTCTATAGCGACAAAGATGATCCTTTTCTCCAGGAGCAGGGAGGGTACCTCTCACCTGAGGGCCTTATAGCCTGCTTCAGGGGAAGGTCAGAAAACCCTTTCCAGGTTTTATGACCTGCTTCAGGGGAGAAGGATGGGGAAAAGGTCAAAGTAACCTTTAAGTTTCTGCCATTTTCTCAAATTCCTTCATCTTAAAATATTGAGGATGCCAAGCTGCCATATTTGTGGATACCATGACCTAAACCCCATCAAGAGAAAGGAGTAACTCTGAAGATGCAGTTAAAGAACAGACTTCTGAACACTACTACAGGATCTAAAAGGAAACACTTCAGAGCCATTTTGTAAGTGGAGTAAGATGTAGAAATATGCAGTCTGTTAGCAAACAGAAGCAGGAAGCAATAAAAGAAAGACCACACTGAGGAAGAATTAAAAGAGAAATGTGTAAAGCAAATGTGTCAAGTTAAAAATCAATACTGGAGATAATAAATATAAACTTGAGAAATTCTCCCCATATGCTAAGGAAAGATACAAAGTGAAAAATGATGAGAGAACATGATTGATAAAGAGGAGGAGGTGGTGAAAAAACTAAGTGTCATAGATGTTTCTGGAAAAAAATGTGAATAATTAGAACAGATGTCATTCATCCATACCAAACTGAAAAAAAACACATTTCAAAAACTGGAACACAGTCTGACGGGTTCTGTAGGCAAAGTATGTGAAAAGACATTCCTAGGGATATTGCTTGACCCTGCGATAGCTATCTTGGTCCTCTACCATTTTGTCTACCAGGTGACCCTGGCACACATCCCAATCCCCATAGTCCTTAAGATGTTTGTCAATATAAACTGGAAGCAAAACTCTTTTCATGGTTATCTGTCAACTGCCACAGAACAGCCATGGTGTGCTGGCCACTGAAGGCTGGGGTATTTCTTAACTGACACTGGACTGTGAAGAGGTTTGGAGAAAGGCCAGGTGCATTCTGGTTGACTGTGGCCCACACTTGTCTAGCTTAGCATATGAACACCTTTCCACTTCCTGTTCTGGGTGTGGGGATTCCCCTGTCTTATAACTGCCCTAGATACACTTCTATCTGTAAATCAGCAATACATTTTACCTTGTGAAACCCTGGATTCGTCCACATCCTTCTACCCCACCCCCCACCCCAGTGACATGGCACCTTCTATCTTTGGCTGCTAGTTCTCACATATGGGATTGGGTTTTTCTGAAATAATACTTCATCTAGAACTATCTTGAAATATGTTTTAATTATAAAGAAACATCCTATAAGGATACAACAGAGTAAAACTAGCTTCTTATAATGGAATAGAAAGGAGACAGATCTCAGACTTCTCTCTGAAGCTAAATTCTGAAATTTAATGGAAAGGAGTCTATAAAGTCTATACAGGACAGCTGTAGACTATAGCCCCTATACAGCTGTCCTTCATGCATACAGGCAATGAGAAATAATTGTTAAATACTTAGAGAATCAAAAGATTCACCAATTATCTCTTTCTTGAAAACATATCCAAAGATGAAGTTAGAACTACTCAGATAATCAATATTAGGAATAGGGAAAATGTGGTATTAATAAGACTAGTGGAAATATCATTAGAAACAGCTCTCAGTAGTTTGAATAGACCATTTTAGTGAGACTACAAAAATGTGAAGGACTTATGGTTCAGTTCACAAGGCATCTGGACAATAGTTGAAAGCCTGCAATATCAGTATGAATTTAATCCCTCATTAAGGGAATAACCCTTATGTGAACATAAGGAATTTCTTCTTTTGTTAGGGATTATCACCAACTTTTAGAATGTAATTATAATCGTGCAAATAAACATCCGCATTTTCCTTAAAAAAGACTAAAATGAATTACCACAAAAAGAAATTTGTCCTAGTCTTTTTGAATGGAGGAAATATGGGTGATAATGTTCTTTCTGGTTTCCCAACTTTCCTTAATGAATATACATTCCTTTTATAATTATAAAACCCCAAAACCATTGTAGTAAAAATCATGGCAATCCCTGAAGACAAGTTGAGTATTTTTCCAGAGCATAAGCCCTGAGAAATAACATTTCTACTGGAAAACTAGTGTTTTCCTTATATTTAATGAACTCATGCATACAAAATACTTGCAAAAATGCTCATTGATGTTAGCAAATATTGTGATAATTATTATATGTAAGTGCTGGTAACTCCTCATTTAGGAAGGCAAGATAGCATAATGGTTAGAAACAGGAGTCAACATGGTTTTCTGAGGTTGTAATGTACAAGTGCAAAGGAGAGAAGTGCTGTCACTTCCTAACTGCGGGACCTTGAGCAAGTCACTTACTCCCTCCCAAATCTCAGTTTTATCAAATATAAAATGAGGATGATAATAAAAGCTCCTGCCTTATAGAGCGATAATGAAAATTACACAGCTCTTAAATATCAATGATTGGTACATATAAATTACCCAAAGTGTGCTGATGGTGCTAATGGTGGTTGTGATAGTAGTGGTGGGGTGATGTGCTACATCAGTAACACCAATTCTATAGTATCCCTTTATATCATTGGAACATTCAACATTTAATAGCAACATTAAATCAAGAAAAGTGGTTCTAAGTGATCTGACAGTTGCATTTTTTTAAATGTCATGGTAAAAACACAGACTTCATGCAAGAGTGATTGAAATCAATCTATTTCCAATTCTTCAGAGGGCCAGTATATCATTTAGCTCTAAAGTATGATACCAAATTTTGTCATCTCACATTATCATATTGATTCGAACTGTAAGTGAATACTATGCATGAAGCAAGAGCTTATGTTTAATGTTTCTTAAAATGAGAAATAGTAATATATCTGCCCCCACCAAATAGGCAGTATGTGGTTGAGTTTTTGAAGAATTAAGGCAGAAAGTCCTCCATGGAGTGTTTCCTCCATTACTACTCCCACCTCACTTACTGAAACGGTGGCAAACTGCTTCATGACCCTTCCTAAACAAGAGCACTACACCCCAAATGTGCTATCGAAGAGCCATGATGTGACAATGTCCTCCAGATGTAAGAGCAGAAGAGGGAGATACTATGCAACTCGATCAATGGCTCATTTGTAATCTTAAAGCTGGGACAAGACCTGGTGATGAATTGGGAGATGAGAGTGATCAGGGAGCTGGTATAGTGTGGGCAATACAATCTAGTCCTTCAATTAGATACGTTTTTCCCTCCATTTGACATTTAGCATTTCATGTCTAATTGCCTTTTGTCTGCCTTTAAAAATATTGCCCAATTGTCACAAGATGCCATGTTATTGATTTTGTTTTATTTGACCCAAAGTACTGCTCTGTATCAACTGAATGTTGGCTTCCAGCTTTTCCTTAGATCAAAAATGAGCAATTTTCGACTGGAGGCAAAACTCTTTTCATGGTTATCTGTCTACTGTCACAGAACATCCATAGAAGCCTCTGGAAGAGCAAAAAAAAAAAATCTATAAAATACCATGTATACCACATTTGTTTTCAATTGATTTTCTCTTCCAAATTTGTGTGAAGTGCCTAACGTTTTGAAAATCAGACCAGCTTTAAATGAAGAACAGTATCCCACTTTCTTAAATACCTCCAGAGAAAATCCTTCGATAATCTGAATCATTATCCTGTAAGAATTAAATCATGTACATCTGGATAATCATGCTCAAAGACATGTATGTGTCTTTAAAAAGCAGACTACACCTATACACTGAAAAACAATAACAAACCCGATTGTGTTACAAAATTTTCCAGATGTTTAGCTTGACATTGTTGGAACATCTGTAATTCAAGCTGGAGGCTTCCTTGTGTGTACCCTCAAGGCTCAATTTCATTATGTAACAATTAGCCTAAATGGCTGGTAATTAGACCTATCTGTAGCTTCTAAGGGGAAAAGAAATGTCTTGGAGGGAGTCTCCAAAAGAATAAGGAAAACAAAGCAATTCTTGCTTCTTGTCTCTAGTGCTCTGGAGGCTGCCTGACATAATCTCAGAAGAGACTCCAAGATTTTGAACAGGAAGTTAACAGCCTGGACAAATCCACCCAGAGGTATCTCCCTTACCTGGTTACAAAACAGAGGCAGGCACTGAGCCGCGAAGCACTGCACGACTCCATTTCTGCACACACACTTGGCACACTGGCTCAGCCTCCAGTCCTCCCCGTCCTCAAACACACGGCCTTCATAGGAACAGGGTTCTGGAAGGTCGAAGGAGTCAGCATTAGTGGAAGAACTGTGTGTGCTGATCTCAGTGCTAACCGCACAGGTGAGCCCTATGGTCTGGTTCAGGGTGCACAGCAGGAGGCTCTTAGGACTTAAAGCTCTGCAGTCACTGCTACCTTGAAATCTCTTAGTCTGTGTTTTCTAAGTGAAGGAGGGGACATGATGCCTCAGCCCATGCATGGTCCCATCTCCTACTGGCTTCCTGGGTTGGGCTCTCAGCTGCCTGGTCCCCAACCCCAGCCCAATGAAGACTTCCCCCCTCCAGTGGGGACCATGGTGTGGGTTCCAGGAAGCTGCATGTGCCCTATGCACTAAGTCATAGGATGGGTGCTAGGGTGCCTAGGAGAGTCTTCACTCACCAATCAAGTATCCCCAGGCCCCAAGGAGTACAACATTAAATAGCAAATAAAAAACATGCCAGATGGAAAAAGAGAGAGAGACCTGGAGACCATAGAGGCAAAGAAAAAGCATTTTCCCCTGCTTTTTAAATAAAGGAGTCTGGAATTTTATAAATTAGGTAGTGGGGGCTGGGTGATCCTCCAATTTCTCAAGGAAAAAAATGCTTCCAATATCTTTCTCATGGAGGGCCCATGAGAAAGCCCCTTAAGACCTAAGAGAGAATCCCACAAACTCAGACAGCACCTTCCATACCACTGGACTCTGTTGTTCATGCATTTTCACTTGCTGGGTCACTTGGCCCCAAAACCACTGCCAATCCTTTTCTGGCAGGTGATGACTGAAATGCTCAGGCAAGCATTCTATTCATCATTTCCTGATCACACTTTGTAATACTTGGAACAGTTTTCCAGAGAAATGGGTTGCCAGGTATAGAACAAGTGGTATGGGAAAGAAATCAGGGATCTTTTTAAACTGAAAGGGCAAGAACAGAGTATAGGCTGCAGATGCTACTGAATAAAAGAGGTATTCCAGCTATTATAAGTCACAAGAAGGCATCATGCAGCAATGACATTAATTTATGTTTATCATAAAGACTATTCTATTTAGTCGTATAAATGGAAGAGACATGTTATTTTAGTACAATAAAAGGGGTACATGGACCAAGCACAGATTCTAACCAGAGGGCCTGGAGCCTGATCTTGGCTTGCTGAGCAAAAGTTGAATGCCTCAGTTTGTAACAGGATTAATCCCTTCAGTGAGGATGCAGTAAAGGCTAACAAAAAAATGATATGGAGAAGAGATTTGGTTGTTCTCTCCACCAAGGGGCAGGAGAAACTATGTTGGCCTTGTGGAATCATATCAAAAGATAGTCCCCCTCCTCCTTTTTCCTCTTGGGAGCTGTAAAAGCTGAGTGAGGCATCTGGCCAATGCAAAAATCAATCAATCAATCAATCAATCAGAGACTAGCAGAATCCTAAACTGGGAATGGAATTTAAGGATTTTTTTCCCATCACACTCTCTGATACCTCTCTCCCTACCAAGTGCAAGGTTACAACTGGGTTCCAATAAGGCATGAGTTAGAGATTTTTGAGCCACACAGGACAAGGAGACAAGAGTCTGGGTGCCACCATATAACCTCAAAGGCAAAGGTTCCTTTCCACAAGCCCATACTCACTCCCAGGGCCCACGCAGACTGGGCAGCAGCTCCCTTCAGGGATGAATTCCAGCTCCTGGGGTCCACATGACAAGCGTGGGCATGGCTGGGGGGTGCACCTTACTTCCCCATGAGTGCAAGAGCACACACTACATGGGGAAGAGGCCCACTCTGTTCCATGCTGTGAATCAAGGGAGAAAAGAACAATCAGAAGGTTAGTTCCAGAATATAAGCCTCATTAGCCAAACAGAAACAAACCTTCCCTTATACAAACTGAGGATGAAGCTCAGGAAAGGTGGAAGAAGGCTTGAAAAGTTGAGACCACGGTTTGCAATTTTCCAAGTTGGAGACCAGTTTAAATATAGACTTTTGTTCTATTATCACTAAGATTTTATATTTGAAAGTTTCAGAAAAACATAAGAAAATAAAAACGACCTGAATCCCATCATTAAAAAATTCTATAAAACCCCAAGTAAAATATACACACATTTACGTGTGTGTGTGATGGTTCTATCACTTTTTTTTTTTTTAAGATGGGATCTCACTATGTTTTCCACACTGGTCTCAAATTCTTGGCTTCAATCAATTCTCCTGCCTCAGCCTCCCAAGTATCTGGAACTACATGCATACTCCACCACATCCTGCCTATCTTGTTTATGGTTTTTTGATGGTATTGGAGACTGAACCCACGACCTCACAAATGCTAAGCACATGCTTTACCAGTGAGCTATATCCACAGTCATTTTCAATAGCTCTTGTTCTTTTTCCTTTCTTTAACTTTATTTTTCATCCATATTTATCCCCCCTCCTGTTCCAATGACCTTATAATCTTGGGGAAGGTGTGATAGTCAAGAAGAGGTTCCTGCTCCATCCAGGTCTCCCACAAACTGTACAGAAGAAACACTCCCAGCAAATGTGTCTATCCACAAATGCAGAATGCTCCTAAGCCACTTAATGCTGGAAATACCATGCTCTCAAAGCATTTTGTCTGGGATCTAAGAGATCCAGGCGTTGAGCTATCCTGTGATATTACTAAGTGCCTAAAGTATCTATAGGAGTCACTGTCAATGTGATGCAGAATAAACCAGCATGTAAAAAGTTACAACCATGCCACTAATTAGGGAAATAGCTGCCAAAATATATATTCTTGACCGCAGAATGGAATACTGGTGGCCTTTCCCAAGATAGAGGAAAAAAAGTAGTTTAATGAACTTTTTTACCTGCAATGTTTTCTGAAACCACTCTCCTTTGTCTCACAGGTAGCATCTGACTAATATCCAATTCAGCACAAATCGTATATGGACTTTTATTAAAATATCACACATTCTAGACACTCCACCACCTAATACAATCTGGGGTTTACAACTACAAGTGTCATTGAGAAACATGAAAATAATTATCCTCTTGTGTCCCTTCAAACTAGCATCCAGAATAGCTTTTCATTTTTCTCAAACACAAAGCAGCCATCTTACCTGAACAAGTCAGTATTCTTTTATTCTGCAAATTGTTGCCAGGTTGCAAGCAATGCCAAATCTAATGTTATAAAATTATTAGAAACCTGGATATTATTGTAACAATAATAGTAACAGGTAGTTGTGATCATCCAATGATTTGGGAATCCAGCCCTCATCTTACTATCATAATTATTCTCCTCTAGAGAGACTTACTGGGAGTGCAAGAGGAAAATAATGCATGTGCACTCTCTCAGAAACCAAGGATTTCCTTGACCACCTGCAAATTTTCAGGTTAATTCAACCCTTTCTGCCTTGGGAACAGGGGTAAGAGGCTTAATTTTCATTAAACTCAGCTTCCTTGACTATAAAAATGAAATGGTAGGATGTCCCCTTCCTTTGTTTCCTACAAAGTTTCAATGAGGAAGACTGTCAGAGAGCTGCAAGGGATGGGCAAGCACAGGCATTTACTCAAGACACAGTCAAAGCTGCCAGGGGAGTCGTTGGCCAAGGAGCACAAATATGCAGTTACAAGATGAATGAGTTTTGGCATACGTAATAACAGATGCATTAATTTGTGGTATCATCAAACAATGTGTAAGTGTATCAAATCATCACACAGGATATGTGATCCATTTTTATTTGTCAATTAAATATTCAAAAATAAAAAAGAAGTTGCTCAATCATCTCCCCTCTTTCTACTGCATGAGTTCAGGGTCTTCCTCCTGTTTTTATACTTTTGTGCTGATTATGAGTAGTGGCGATAGAGATGGATACAAAGGCCAAGTCATCTCCCATCAATTTTTACTTCTGCTATAATTACATATAAAACTTCAAATTTAGCACAGCATATAAACACTCAAGTTCACAAATTATAGGCTAATAAAAGACAAAGTGCCACTGACCTTTGACATTCATACATAGAAAATCCTAAGTATAAAACAAAGGAAAAACTTGTAAAATAAAACTTAATAGGCTCTGATGAATTAAAAATTTTAAATCTGTCAAAAAACATAAACAAATGAAAAGCCAATGACAAACTGATTTTAAAAAATTAACCATAATGTATAAAAGCACTTACAAGCAATAAGAAAGATGAATATTCCCAATAATGCCAAAAAGCTTATGAATGTTCAACTTTATGAATTAAAATAAAAACTGGATGACATTTTTTAAGATCAGATATGGGAGGAGCTTTAAATTCATAGTATCTAGTGCTGGTGAAGCTGCAGTGAAATGGGATTTGCCCACAGAGCCCTGTCTTACACCTGGAATATGTATGCAGGTAGGCCTCATCCAGGTGGTCACACTAGAAAGGAGGCTGCATGGTCTGTGTGATGCCCACTGGGCCCGTGGCTAGATGCAGACATTTAAAATGGAATGTTAATGATGACAGGCATCACAGCTTCAACACCCAAAGTCTTTAGTGCTTTAACCTTCAAATTGTGCTTTTTAAGTTATCCAAACAAAATGATCAACAATACACAAAGAAAGGCTTACATACAAGGAATTCCATCTCGTTTTTCATAGTGAAATTGGAAATATTTTAGTGAAAACTGAAAAGCTACCCAAATGCTTAATAATAGGGAATAATGTTCTCCAAGGGTATCCTAGGGAATTATTTACAATACAATGTAAAAAGGACATAAACCATATACACAGCATAAATCCAGTTATGTTAAACCATATATCTAAACTGAGCCCAGTGGCACACAGCTATTACCCTATCGACTTGGGAGACTGAGGCAGGAGGATCTCAAGTTCAAAGCCCACTTTAGCAACTTAGCATGGCCCTAAACCACTTAGCAAGACCCTGTCTTAATAAATAAATAAATAAATAAATAAATAAATAAATAAATAAAGGGTGGGTGGGGAAGTTGCAGTAATAGTTTACTGAGAGAGCGCTCCTGGGTTCAATACCCAGTACCCCAAAACAAACAAATAGATCTATATGTATTATCTATCTATGTCCACTGTCAGCTCCTGCCAAAAAACCCTGAGAAAATATTAATGGTGTTTTTTCAGAGTATTGAGGTATTTGTGACAGAGTATTTGTGACCTTTTTTTCTGCTTATACTTCTATTTTCTAAATTTTCACCAATAAAATATTCTTATTTTTGTCACCACAAAGCAAATTACTATTTAAATATCTAATTATTCATTTAGATAACTTAAATAAAGTCAAATTTGAAGGCTGTTTAAAACCACTTGAAGTGAACTACTCTATTTTATTAAAAGTTAAGAGGCTAATTCTAAACATCTAGACATTTCAGTTCATGAAAACAGAGCTTGTTTCTGTTACTACTGAAAAGCACTGTTGTTTTTAAACACTTGTAATCACACCACCGCTCAGACGGAGACCAAAAAATTAACTATAATAACAACCTGTCAATCATCAAGCCTTTTCATCTGTTAAATGAGAGGGCTATGCTAGTGAATCCCTTCAGTACTTTTGAGCTCTATGATCATGTGAATCTATTATTTAACTCAGGAGACACAAAACTAAGCAATGGATTCTCCCTTCACAATAACCTTAAGAATTATGGGAATAACAAAGAACATGTAGTAGGGAAACTCCTTGATGTCACAACTACAAAAACAGCTTCAGTTGGTGATGCGAAGTCTGCAGAGTGATAGAATGACTCTCTTATCTCTTGAGAAAATAGGTCACATATGTTCCTTCCAAATTTGTCTCCTACACCTATCCTTGGAAGAGCAACACCTTCCTAGAATGTTCCAAGGATTGATAATGCATGAAAAGCAGCCAACCTAAAGATCAAGGAGTTCCACACATGTTGAATTTTACTTATACACGCATAAATAATTTTATAGTATTCTCCATATCCATTTACAAGAGCATTATTTTTAAAATATTTTTTAGTTGTTGGTGAACCTTTATTTAATTTATTTGCATGTGGTGCTGAGAATCAAACCCAATGCCTCCCACATGCTAGGCAAGTGCTCTTCCACTGAGCTACAACCCCAGCCCATACAAGAGCATTATTTTTAACAAACACTGTGGTAGCAAAGAGCTTTGTAAAATCAAGGAATAACAGATGCACAAAGCAAGGCTCCCCCAAGACCCAGATTTAGCTGTGCCATCTTAACGTCGCTAATATCCATTTGAAAATATCAGACTTTGACATGGGCAAAAGCAAATTCCGCAGACAACATCTTAAATATATTCTTCTGCATAGTCAACTAATAAGTTAGCTTAGCTGTTTGCATAAGTCCAAAAGAAAGATAAGGTCATAAAGCTTTTACTTTGGCTTTCTGACAGAATAAAAATTTTTTTTTTCATATAATTTGTTCCTGTTATGAAGTTATAAATTCAGCATGCTAAATATCCGGGTATGTTCACAGCATATTATAATTACATCCTCTACTTTGAAGGGAACAGGCCACAGAATTCAACATTCATTTCTTTCCTCACAAACATAAATTACTTCTCTTAACCTCATGGACAGGCAGCGTGAGCCGCCCTCTCCTCGCTCCTCCCCTCAATGGGCCTCAACACTAGGGCATTGCCACTTGCCATTTTCTTTCTTCAGTGACATGATAGGTGCTTGGATCAAATTAGTAAAAAGGAAGCAAAGGGAATTAATGGTCCTTCCTCCTACCTTTCATGAGGTGATTTGTGGGGAAAGAACAAGGGAAAGGCCAACAAGTCTTTAGAAAACACATTTGAGGGGAGAGTCCCGGGAGGTCACAGATGAAGCAGACTCCCCAAATCCTGGCTCTAACAAACCCAACACAAGGCTCCCAAATAACCTGGAGTCAGCCCAAAGCCCTGCATTTTCCTCACTCCAGGAAAGAGCTCGGGACTTGTCTAGACCTGCTGGGATGCCAGTGGTAAGTGCTGCTTGCTGCCTGCCCTGTGAGCAGAGGCGTCTCCCAGGAGGCCCAGCTTTTCGCTGGGGTGGCCCTCTCATGAGGCCTTAAACTCAGCCCATCTCTGATTTCCCTGGCTTGTAGCACATTTTCTAGGGACAGGATTGCCTCAGCTGATTCCCCTGTGGCCGCCCCCCATCTCTCCTAGCTTCTGCTAAACCCCTTAGAGCCAGGCTTCCTCCTCACATCTCCACAGAGTTCTTAACACACCAGGCTGTTTTACAGCAGCTGGGAGAGTCTCCACAACCTGCCCTGTGGGAAGCAAGCCAGAGGCCAAAGAAAGGATTACTGCTGTTCAGCAGGAGAGGAAAGTACTCTAGAAACTGCTTACCAAACAAGCTAAAAGGGGGGGGGGGGTGGAAGAAAGGCAGCCAGATTTAGAGAATTGCCTGGTAGAGCAAGTGACATGGCAAGACTCAGACCAAATCACACAGTGTTAAACCTGCTCAAGAAAATGAATAGGCCAGGCACAGGGGTGCACACCTGTAACCCCAGTCACTCAGGAGGCTGAGGCAGGAGGATCACAAGTTCAAAGCCAGCCTCAGCAATTTAGCAAGGCCCTAAACAACTTAACCTGACTAAAATTAGATTTTTGTCTCAACTTGAAAAAAAAAAAAAAATCAAAATCAATCTCCGGCGCTTTTTGACGAGGCAGACCACTAGCGTTTCCCTCCCCTCAAAGCTATAGTTCTCAAAATTCGGCCTTTTCCTCAGTTACATCAAGTACCAAAAATATAATAACATTTACTGAGGGAATAAATTTTGAAAGTGCACATGGAAAAACAACACATGGCCATGTTCTTATCCAGTTCAGAGATTCCTACATGATGGATTATTGGAGAAGGTGTGAAATGCAAGGGAGACGGGGAGAGGGTAGCCAAAAAGAGGACTTTCTGAACGCGCATGGCAAAAGTAGGCGGCCAAGGGGATTTCTAACCAACCCATGGCAACTCTGTGGCCTCAGAATTGCCCATTGACACAGGTCAATGACCAACATGCTCTTGGGACGAGGACAGGAGAAGGTGGAGAAAGGATCTGCTAACTGAGTCTTTCACTCATCAATGTATATTAAGCATCCACTTTGGGAAAAGTTCCGGGCCAAGTGCCAGGTTACTTTTGGATAAGAGGCAGAGAAGATAATTATAAAGATATTGAAAATATCATCAAGACTTTCAAGCATCTTAAATTAAGAAGATTTTACATGTGCACAAATGTAGCATTAGAAAGCCATTGGCAAGTGTCATTAGAGTAATCCAAGCAGAATTCTGAACTCGGGTGGCACATGTGCCTGGTGTCAAATCTTATTTGAGAGATCTTTTCCCCACAGATTCTGACCTTATTTTGGCTCCCAACAGCTTGAGCAGCACACGGTGATGGGTAGTATGAAGACATTCCCAGTGTAAATCCTGTTTGGGTGTCTTTCAACAACGCATTGTGCAAAAGAGAAAGAGTAGCTTCCTCATGTAATTAGGAGACAGTGGCTGGAGTAAGATGATCCAGACCCAGGGGAAATGAGCACTGTACTCACTGAGATTTAGGAACACACACTGAATACTAGCTGAGAGTGGATATAGCAAACCCTGTTAACCTGTGCTCTCTCCTGAATAGGTGGAGGCACTAACTTAGGGAAAGTTTTGTATCAGGTAGAAGATGAAGATTAAATCAAAGAACCTCTCTCTATCACATTCAACCTGGTGCCTCCGGGTAACATTTAAGTATGAGTGAAGATTAACTATTTTCATCATTTCTAATATAAACCTAGCAATGGTGTTTTTAATCAGTATTTAATATCTCTAAATTAATCCTAAAGGATCTAGAATGAGAAGATATAATTTTAAAATCTTTAGGATATTTTTCTACTACTGTGATTCTTTACAGGATGGAGAGAAGGGTGTGTGAGCATTTTGCCTACTAAGGAAAATTTGGTCATGTCTGCAGACATTTCGCATTGTCTTGATTAAAGTTTGTTACTAACATCTACTGAATAGAAGCTAGAGATGATATCAAACTCCCTATGATTCATAGGACAGCCCCCAGAATAAGGCCTAAAATGTTGATAGTACTGAAATTGAGAAACTACCTGAATGGGGTAGTATTATAAATTATAGTTCTAAAGACCAAGGTTATCCCACTTTTTATTAGTAACATGCATTGGCTATTTGCAATTCAATTTTTTTTATATCTTTGAGTAAAGAGTAATATCATCTGCTTTATTCAACAACTCATGGGTTGTTTATAACTCTCAAATAAAATATATATAGTATACAAAAGAATCACAACTTCTCAGTATTAACATTCTCATTTTCACAACTTCTCAGTATTAACATTCTCATACTACTCATTATTCAATCAGATTTAATCTATAGATATTTATGTAGGGCTAATGGGATAAACAGGACAGTTTTCATCTTATTCAAGAAACCTAATTGCCCATAGAGAGTCAAATGAGTTTCAGATCCTCTGCAGGCCTGGTGGGAAAAAAATCTCCTGTCAACCCAAGTTTAACATTCGGATTTCTCTTGTCAACAATCTACAGACATAGAATCAACCTGGGATCAGAAAATACTTACCTCATGGATTCTCTCTTCATGGTGGCAAGATCCAGGAGTCCTCGATACACACTCTGGGCAGCACTGGTTGGCAGCTATTTGAAGCACTTCTCCCTAAGCATTTAAAAACAGCTCAGTGTCAAACAGCAACAGCAAACAGAATCACATGGTTCATCAGTCCCCAAGTATCTTAGAGTCTCTAAATCTCATGAGTGTCCACCAGTGACAACAACGGACAGGATAAGTAAATAAACTAACAAAATGATCCTCTGTTAAGAGGAGCTTCTATGAAAGTAATTTCCTTAGGAAAAAAAAAAAGTCTACATCTTTTCACATGTAATGAAGTGAAGAATTATTTTCACTAGAAATGCTCCACACAAGAAAGGCAGTCAGGGTGAGAGAAGAAGCATATTTCCTTAAGGGTAGTATTTTCCTCTATTGGAGAGAGGAAGAAGATTCTGGTGCATGGGGGATGGCCACTGAACTGCCAAATCTTCCAGCCATCTTGGTGAGGCCTAACACTGAGGGGAGCTGAAGGGCTGACAGTTAATTTTTACTTAAGAAGCAGAGTAACCAGGCACTTGGGGGCAGGAGGTTGAAGGACAAAGTCTGTCTAGGAAGTAGCATTGTTGTGGAGGTACCATATGTAAGTACTGTGGGAAGGTGGGTAGAATTCCTAGGCTCCAGTAAAAATCTGTCCTGTTTTTCAAGGTTTTTTTTTTGTTTTGTTTTGTTTTTTTAATTGCAATTGTGCTTCTGGATAGTATCAAAACAATGGATTACCACTTGATATCTCAAGATTTTTTGTGGAAGTTATCACATATTAACTAACAATAAATTTGCCACTATGAAGAATCTATTAAGAGTTATTAAAAATTGAGTGATTGGGGGTATAGCATAGTGGTAGCATACTTGCCCAGCAATTGTAAGGCCCTGGAATCCATCCCCAGAATTAAAAAAAAATATAAAATATATATACACACACACACACACACACACACACACACACACCAGAAGGTTGGTATTTGGGGCCCTGTGATTCTCCTATTCGATCCTCTTATTCACACCACTCCTCTACTATATATCTTAGGATTTCCCCAATTCTAGATGTGGCAGAACAGGCAATGAATGATTCTGACCAAGAATGGTGGAAGATTCTTCATTAGCCAAGAAGTCATGACACATCCACAAGATAAAAGTCAACCAAGAATTCAGTCAGTAGAATGAAAAAATAAAATTGTGTGTGTGTATTTGTGTGTGGTAATATTTTCTTTGTTATTTTTTGTTGCTTCCATTTTTTAAAAAAATTGTATCTACAAGAGAATTCTCATTTGCACAACTACATCCACAAGCGTGTATGGGAAATAGGGTTGAGATTTTACAACAGTTAATCCACTACATAGATAAATACATCAATAACAGTAATCGCCAAATTTTTATTTGCTTGATAAAGAACAAAATTTATATGATATGGGATTTTATAAAATTGCCCATTCTGTGCAACATTAATGACTTCTCCGAAAAGTCGCCTCTGAACCCAAATAGAAAAGTACACTTCAATTTCCACTAAGATGGCAATAGAAATTACATTAGCATAATTTCTCCTAAGAATTTCATACAGATAGGAAATGAGATAATCCAGTTGTTTATATTCTAACTTGGCAGCAAGGAGCAAGGGAGAAAGGCAGAGAGAATGGAAAACTTCAAAGAATGTCTTATGCCTCCAAATTAGTTTTCTTTTATTATATAACAACTAATTTTCAGATATGGTTCTCAAAAAACTCATTTCAAAAATATAGTATTCTTGATGTGTGAGTGGCAGTGGGCAAGAAGAAAGGGAGGTTCCCAGCAAGGGTCCACCTGTTGAACTTCCGGTGGGGCATGACAGAGATGAGGTGAAGGAGGATCAAAAAATGTTGCAAGTGTGTGCCTGGAAAATGGGGAGCAAGGAATTCTTGGCACCTGACCATGTAACCCTACACAGCTTGGTGAGCTGTGGACTGCAGAAATCACACAGGCCCACTCTTCCTCTGGGCTTTGCTCTGAAGAGCAGTGAAAGTGACTGCATGGGCAAGAGACATCAAGGACAACTGTCAGGGAAACTGAGCAAGAGGACTTGATTAGGTTCTAGAAGCACAACTAACAATAAGGGATAATTTAATAATTTTAGCTAACATTTATTGAGTGCTCATAAGAGCTAGGTACAGTAGTCTCCTTCCCATGTAGGATACATGTCAAAGCTCCCAGTAGATGCCTGAAACTACATATAGTATTGGACCCTATATATTCTATGTCTTTCTTACATACATACATACATACATACATACATATGATAAAATTTAATTTGTGAATTAGGCTCAGTAAGAGATTAAAAATAATAGCTAATCATAAAAGAGAATAATTATTTTAAAATGCTGTGATAAAAGTTATATAAATGTGATGTCTCTTTCAAAATATCTTGTTGTACTATAGATATTTTCAGTATGTGAATTTCAGTACTTAATGTTTTTCTTTCCAACATCACGATTCTTGAGCTTTGGGGCGATTATGAAGTGAAATAAAGGTTACTAGAACACAGCACTGCCATATCAACACAGTGGATCTGATAACTGAGATGGCTACTAAGCAACTAATGGGCAGACAGCATATACACTATGGATACACTGAACAAAGGATGATTCAAGTCCTGGGCAGGATGGAGGAGAACTGTGTAATATTTCATGACACTACTCAGAATGTCATATGATTTAAAACTAATGAAGTATTCATTTCTGGAATTTTCCAGATAATATTTTCAGACCATGGTTGACAATGCAAAACAACAGGTAAGAAGGCACTACTGTACTAAGCATATATAAGCATGCACAAATATGTTATATGTATATATATATATATATATATATATATATTGGGTGTCAGTGTGTGTGTGTGTGTGTGTGTGTGTGTGTGTGTATTATGTGGCACCTAGATCTCAGTTTCTTCTCTACCTTATATCTGGGCATCATTCTGACAGCTTCAGTGTCCATGAAAATGATCAATCCCACATTCTTTCTTGGTACATTATTGACCACCTCAGTTCAAGCAATCCTCACTCCATTTGTCTTGAAAAAGCCCATAGCCATAGTTAAACTTGGAACCTATCTGCACTCTACACTTCTGTAGACCAGAAGCCTTCATCTCTCTGAACCTGTGCCTCCTAGTATTTAGCTCCCATTCATCCTCACTCCCACTAACCTTATTTCCCTCAGAGACTCTTGAGCACCTCTTTTCCTGGTAGCCATTCAGCCCCCAGTTGGCATTGTTCTCCTACTGATGTCAGTCTCAACACCCACCACTTCCCATATCTCTACTCTGTCTCTTCATGAAAATGGCAAAATCCCAGTCCCGTATCTATCCCACATTTTGTCTTATCCTCTTTTATACTTGACTGGTGTGCATTGCTGAGAAAAGCATTCCACTCTGCAGCTTGGTACCCACAAGTTCATGGCCTCCTGCTCCCATAACACCACCCTTTATCTGACCTTGATCAGTCCCTTTCTCCTCTCACTGACCTCTAACATTCACTACTCTCATAACTCCCACAAGAATCTCAAAATCTTCACAAAGAAACCTCACTAGGTATGAACTGCATCAGTATCCTCTTCCTTTTCTCGCCCTCAGATTTACCTGTATCTGTATTTATCCATGGATTTTTCTTTCCATTCCTAGAGAACGAGGTTGCTTTCCCACCCCTATCCCATTCCATACTCTGGAATTCGCTACAAACTACTCTAATTCATTTTTTCTCTTTCATTCTCCTCCCTCCCAACCTTCATGTCTTCACCTTCTCTCTCCATTCTGGATCATTCCCCTTTTCTCCTAAGGTGATCTTGTTTCTCTCATGCAAATATTTAAAAAAAAACTAAAAAACAAAACAAAGTAAAATCCCACCCCCATCCAAGGGATTATTCTACAAATGCTAGCAGAAGGCTTCTGTGCTCATCTGCAATAGTGAAGGAAACAAGATTGCTGCTCTCAAGGAGCTTACAGTCTGGAGGAAGAGCAGACAAAGGGGCATATGCATTCTAGCCAAGAAGTGTAAGAAGGGTAAGCACAAAACACCATGGCAGTACACAGGAGGGTAGATGGCTTTGGGAGAGGAGTTCAAAAAACTTCATAGACGTGCTGTTGTCTGCCAAACATCCCCTTTCTCCACTCAGTCAAGCTTTGAAAGAGTAGCCTTGAGTTAACCTTCCTTTCCTCATTTTCCATTCAGTCCTCAAAACTTAGCACCATGACTCCCGCTCCCTCCACTCCATTCACATTAACCCACATGTTGCCAAATGCAGTGGATCACATTGAATTCTTCTCCCACTTAGTCCCTCAACTGTAGTTAACACAAAGTCCTCCTGAAAAGCCTCTACTCCCCTGCAACCATATCTTGCTTTCCTCTTTGACCATTCCTTAGCTCATGCCTCTCTCACCCTGTCTTCTTAAACTTTAAGTTCTTTCTCCTGTTCCTCTGGTCCAAACTCCATCCTTGGCCTTGTATCCTTTTCTCACACAATCTCTTTGGATAAGTTCATTAATTCTAAAGGCCCCATACACCCACATTATTACTTCAGCTCTGTCTTCCCTCTGAGGTTTGTTCTCATATATCCTGCTGACTGGCTTCTCCCTGGAAACTTGAAACTCAACTTGCCTCAAACTGAAATCATCACGTTTCCCAGTTGGACTACTAAGACATACATATACTGACAGATAGATAGATACACAGATACATAGTTAAGATATAGAGGGATCAGCTGGTGGCTCATCAAGCCATAAACATGGAAGACATTTCTCCTTCTTTCCCTCATCTTCCTACCTTCAATCAGTTCTACTGACGTATCCCCTAGGTATGTATAGAACCTAACCTTTCCTCTTGATCCCTACACTACCATGCTCTAATTCAGATATCCATCCTTTCTTTTAAAATTTTTTTTATTTGTTCTTTTTAGATATACATGACAGTAGAGTATATTTTTGACATACTATACATTCATGGAGTATAACCTCCCATTCTTGAGGTTGTATACGATGTGGAGTTACACTGGTCGTGTAGTCATATGTGAACATAGGAAAGTTGAATTCAATTCATTCTACTGTCTTTCCTAGTCCCATCCTCCTTCCCTTCCCTTCCCTTCCCTTCACTACCCTTTGTCTAATCCAATGAACTTCTATTCTTCCTTCCCCAACCCCTGATTATATGTTAGCATCCACATATCAGAGAGAATATTCGGCCTTTGGTTTTTTTGAGATGGGCTTATTTTACTTAGCATAATAATCTCCAGTTCTATCAATTTACCAACAAATACCATAATCTCATTCTTCTTTATGTTTGAGGAATATTCCATTGTGTATATATGCCACATTTTCTTTATCCATTCTTCCGTTGAAGGGCACCTAGGTTGATTCCATAGCTTGGCTTTTGTGAAATGAACTACTATAAATATTGATGTATCTGTGTCACTATAGTATGCTGATTTTAAGTCCTTTGGGTATATGCCAAGAAGTGGGATAACTGGTTAAAATGATGATTCCATTCTAAGTTTTCTGAAAAATCTCCATACTGCTTTCTAGAGTCATCGCACCAATTTGCAATCCCACCAGCAATGTATGACTTTACCTTTTCCCCTGATTCTTGCAAACAATACTCATCCTTTCATCTGTATTATTCTCATAGCCTCTAAATTGAAATCCTTGTTTCTAATATTATGCTTATCTTTGAAACACCAGTGGTATCCTTCCAAAAGAAAACCTGGCCATTCTGCATTTATGCCTAAAATCTTCATTAGCATTCCATCACCATGAAAAGAATTCTAAGCTCCATAGTGCAGCCTACAAACTTCTCTATAACTGTGAATTTACCAATTTCTAGCCTCATCCCTCATTCATTCAATAAAAAATATTTATTGCATACCCACCATATATCAAGTATGATTGCTGGTGTTGAAGATATATAGCGAATAAAAGAGGCAGTAAACAAGAGATATCAGCAAAAACACATAGTACACCAGGCAGTAGTTAGTACTATGAAGAAAAACATGGAAGGTGGATACAAAATGTGAGGTAGGTGGTAAAGGGTGGCAATTTTAAACAGAAGATCATGCCAGCAAAACTTAAACTAAAAGATTAAGATAGATAGATAGATAGATAGATAGATAGATAGATAGATAGATAGACAGACAGATAAACACTTTTGCCATAGGGCCTCTCGCTTTACTGTTCCCACAAAATTGTTCTAAGATATGTGGCGTGTGTATCTGTGTGTACTTGTATCCAGCGACCAGCAAAGAGGCTTGATGGCTGAAGCAAAATAAGCAGAAGATGCTAGGAGAAGACTGATTAGAATGGTGCAGTAATACCTTAAAAGACACCGTAAGGAGTTACTCCAATTGAGAAGAGAAGCCATTGGAAGTCACTGGAGGGTTTAAGGAGAGAAGCAACACAATCTGATGTCAGTTTTAATAGGATCATCCTGGCTGCTACACCAACATTACAATGAAGAAAGCAAGCACAGGAGCAGTGAGACCAGATGAGAGGCTATTATGAGAATCCAAGGGAAAGATGGTAACATGTGAAACCAGAGTGAGAGCAGAGAACTCACATTTGCAATGTACTATTGTATGAAGGAAGAGCTGGGAGATCTGCAAATGTCCTGGATGTAGGATGGGAAGAAAGTAAGGAGTCAAAGATGGTGTAAGATTTCTGACCTGTGTACCTGGAGAATGGATTTACTGAAATGAGAAGAATTAGAAAGAGAACAAACTAAAAAAGATGAAATTGTGAGCTCAGTAGAGTACACAGACCAGAAACTTTTTCAGTAAATATTTTAGCCTTTGGGATTCACAATTAGGTCTATATCACAACGCTTGTGACTGAAGTATAAAAGCAGCCAAAGATAATGCATGAACAAATGAGTATGCCTGTGTCTCAATAAGTTTTTAGTTTTTGATTCTAAATACTGAGTTCATATAACTTCCATAAGTTATTGGTCATGGCTATTTTCAACTATTTAAAAATAAAGAAAATATTCTTAGTTTATAGGTCATAAAGCATCAGGCCACATTTATTCTGCTGACTCCTGGTATAAAACACTTTAGTTTCACCAATATGTCTTCTAACAACTAATTTAGGGCTTCTTCTGTGATATCACAGCATGGCCCCTACATCACCACACAGACTCTGCCATCAACCAATTGGTGATTTCTTAGGAGTAGTGACTCCATACAATAGAAGGATTCATAATATGCAGCAAAATATTAACATTTGTGTACTCCCTGATTCTCAGAAATCCACCCACACAGAAAATGAGAAATAGTCTAAAGGCACACCTTCATTCCAATGTTAGGGAAAAACAGAACCTTATTATTAGCATTAGATGTAGAAAGTCTCAAGATTAATTACTGGGGGGGGGGGCGGAAACCAGAAAAATAAACTGTGCTTGTGAAATTGACAGAATGCTTGCTTAAGAAAATAATCGGTCTTCTCTAGGGAGCTTCAAACATTCGAATTTCAAACTTACACCTTTTTAAAAAAATATATTGACTTTAAAAAGAGTCAACAGCTAGAAAATAAATTATTCTAACAAAACATTTATAGTCAGAAAAAAACTGAAAAGTTTTAACAGAGGATAAAGGAGGACATATCACGCATATGCTTGTTCAAATTTGAGGACAATCTTGTATCAAGGACTCTCTTGCTTCTTCAGGAACCTGCTGGCAACACAGTGATACCATCAGGGGCAGACACAAGTGGAGTTTTTAGAAAATAGTATTTGAGAAGTCAATTTTGATGTTTGACTCATGCAATGGTGCGATGAGTTGTTGAGATTAGTGTCAACATCTTTGGCTTGTGTCAAAATCAGGGAAAAATCTCTGGGCAGCAGTTTACTAATTGTACCATCTTGTTTAATTGCTTAAAATCTCCAGGCTTCGCCTTTCTTATCTGTAATGTGGGGGTAAAGGCACCAACTCTCCATAATACTAACTGGGATAACAACTGGTAAACCTTTAACTGAGCACCTTGTCCTCAATAAATGAAAATTAATATATTCTTACATGTGATATGTTAAAATTCTCTCATGCATTTCCTAAAGCTCTCAATTAGAGATTGAGCTGAATGTTGAAAACAGATGATCAATAAGATGCAAAAACCTGACCCTTCACAGACTAATCCAATATATTTAGGGTACCATTAGGATATCTTACCTTCTCAAAGGCACACTGAGGGTTTCTGCAAACAACAGGTTTGCAGATAATGATGTTGCCATGGCAACGGCAGTTTTGGCATGAATCAGGCTTCCAAACTGTGGCATCCTGCAAAGAAGCATAAGCTCTGAGTTAAAAACTGATCAGTCAAGGTCTGGGCACACAAAGGCAACACCATCAAAAGCCCCACATCCTGAACAATTAAAAGGCAGAGGAGTGTCACAGGCACGCCACACACAGTACTCTCTGGGCACTGATTAACCCTGAATGGCAATAAAAGCAGTATGATCCATTTCACAATAGTCAACCTACATAGCCAAAGACAAGGGCATTCAGCACACAGCTGTCAATACCCAGAGTAGAAAGTATCGATTAGCCACAAACCTCTGAGGACATGCTGCTCCCTGACTTGAAGTTTCTTTTTGCTGTTAACTAGCACAAATTATCTGAGAAGGTTTAAAGGAAAATGACTTTTTTTAAAGGTTCCAGGGATTGAACTCAGGGGACCACTGAGCCACATCCCCAGCCCTATTTTGTATTTTTTTAAATTTAGAGACTGGGTCTCACCGAGTTGCTTAGTACCTCACTTTTGCTGAGGCTGGCTTTGAACTCACGATCCTTCTGCCTCAGCCTCCCAATCACTGGAATTACAGGCATGTACCACCACGTCCTATGGAAACTGACATTTTGTCTAGCTCTAATCAGTATTCAAAAAGCAGTATTTGCCACCAGATCATATAAGCACCTCAGACCTCACTCTGCTTACTGCATACTTCAATGCTCATCAGAGACAGATATATGTAAGTGGTTCTGTTTTCAAGATACATTCACCAAACACATATGCACTGAGTAGCTGTTTTGGGATCTTAATTGGGATCTTAATGAAGTCCAAGTATGGGATCGTCTATGAAGATCTCACACATTATTTTGGATCATGAACGTTAAATAAACAAAAATGTCATTACCCCACAAATTGGGAAGAAAAATAGTGAACAGAAAAGAGAACCCAGGCTCTAATAAAGGTCTCAGGAATTTCTTTCCTATTTCTCACCCTCTATCATGTTGAATCCTTATTTCAATCCTACTATTTTAAAGTAACTTTTAGCCCAACTCTCTCAGAGATTCCACAGAGACCTTTTCTATCCATTGAAATGTTGCTATGATGACTTTGAATTTAAGCAAAAAGACACTAGAGGATGTACTGAAATCCATTTTCCCAGACATTCCTATTCCTATTCTACATGAGTTGAAAATCACCAAACTATTCGACTGAATTTTAAACACTAAACCTGAGAATGCTGTCTGTACTATTCTCTGGTTTAAAACTACTCTAAGGCTCATCTTTGCTTCAGATGGGATAAAACACAGACCCTACAATCAGGCCTTCCCCTCGCTTTCTGGGCTTGCTGAACCTCACAGTCCTGAGGCTTTCATCCATTCACAACAACCAGGTCAAGTTACTGGACAGCCCTGCCTCCTCTCACCTGGTCTCCCATCTCACTCTCCTGCTGGGATCCTTACTCCTCCCTGACTTCTCCTGGAGGAGTTTGCAAACCCACACTCTCTTTACATGCCAACCTCAGAGTTGAATCATTCTTACCCCTATTCCATGCAGCTCTTTGACACTCCCCTGCAACCCCACTTTGTCCTGCACACACTGTCACACTTTATTGCACTCATTTAAATGCCTGTTAGCCTTGCCAGAGCAGACTGTAAATCCTTTGAAGCATGAACTTGGCCTGCTACACTGCAGATCCTTAAAAAGAGGAGTTAATAGTTCATAAGTTGCTTAGTGAAGGTTTATTCCCCCTTTAAAACTTTCTCATCCTTTTTTTTCCCTCAATAAACCAAAATCCAAGTGCTACTCAATACTCCAGGGAGAGAAAGAAAGTTTCTAAGCTCCTGAGAGCATCATCAGAACACAAGCATTTGACTTGAGCTGGGAATGGGCTGGGAAATGGGTGGACACAACAGACACTTTTACATGCAATGGCAGAAAACGAATGTGATGGTTAATGTTATGTGCCAACACAGCTAGGCTATGGAGCCCATTTGTTTGGTTGGATATTAGTCTAGATGTTTCAGTGAAGAAACAGGTGGTCCCCAACTTTTGACTTTTTGACTTTAGGATGGTACAAAAAATATACATTTAATAGAAACCATACTTTGAATTTGGGGTTTGAATCTTTTCCCAGGCTAGCAATATGCAGTGTGATACTCTCTTGAGATGCTAAACAGCAGAGCAAACCACAGCTCCCAATCAGCCACAAGATCTCCAGGGTAAACAACAAATACTCTACAGCGTCCTGTGTTGCTATTATGTACAGGTAATAGGTACGTTAGTTGCATGAAATGGATTTTTTACTAATATTTTCTTACAATCAATGAGGATATAACCCATTTGAGAATTGAGGAACATCTGTATTTTGTGGATGAGATTAACATGTACCATCAGTTGACTTTTAAATAAAGGAGTTTACTTTCCATAACATGATGAGTCTCATACAATTAGTTAATGTCCTTAATTGAAAAATCTGAGGCTTTCTAGAGAAAAGGGAATTCAATCTTACATCTATAATATGGCTCAGGAAGTTTAGGCAGGAGGATTGCATGTTCAAAACCAGCCTCAGCAACTTAGCAAAGCCCTAAACAACTTAGTGAGACCCTATCGCTAAATAAAATATAAAAATGGGGGCTGGGGATGTGGATAAGTGCTTAAGCATCCTGGGTTCAATCCCTGATACCAAAAAAGAAAAGAAAAGAGAGCTACAACATGGAAACTTTGCCTGCATTTCCAGCTTGCTCATCTGTTTTGTAGATTTTGAACTTGCCAGTGCATGAGCCAATGAACAAATTCCTTAAATACCCCCATCTCCTATCGTTTCTATTTATCTGCATAACCATGACTAATGTACCGACACTTGTATAGATTTAAATGGATATGCATGACACTCTACACAGAGTCACTTCTCAGGTCAAGAAACGCTACGCTCATAATCACTCAGAGAATGTGCTTCAAATACAGGTAATTTTCCAAAGTTATTTTAGACACATAATATGTATCTGAGGTAAGATGACATTCCCAGTGGCCGACTCACAAATTCTAAGTCAAAGCAAATGAATACCAGAACTTGCCTTGGATTACTTCTGAATTTCTCCTTATCATTATAGCACATTCTTCAAACTTGACAATAATGTGACAACTACAGGATGGTCTTAACCCAAAGAACACTGACATGAAAGTGAGGAAAAATGAAGTTCACTTCTAAGCACAATGCAATATATGTTTCCTGATGATTTCAAGAAAATAGTTCCAGTTTTAGGATACAGATTAAATAAAAAAGACAATTTCACAAAGCCAATTACTACCATTTATTGATAATTTAGTTTATGTTGACCAGTCTTGCAGCAGGAAGAGCAATTATTGTACAAGAGGAAGAAGGCTTTCTCAAACTCTGTCATCGTCCTGGAAGACCAGGGAACACAGCTATGTGCTAGTACCATGCAAACCTCTTACCTGCAGGACAGCCCTATGTAAAGGTCTCCAATGCAATTTACAGATGAGGAAACAGGATGTGAGAGATGGAAAAATTTCCCCAAGTTCAAAAGTCCTTAGAAGATCTCAGTACACAGGCTCTGGGGCCAAACTGCCTGGGTTCAAGTCCTAATGTCATCATTTACTAACTGTGCATCTGTGGTTAAAGTGCCTGTGTCCCAGGTTTCTCATCTGGGAAACTGGGATACTAAAGCAAGGTAGATGCTAAAGGTACTTACTCCATATTTTTCTTAGAAGCATCACGTGAGATGTTGTATTTAAAGATTTATGAACATTGTCTGGGACTTACTAAGAGATCATTAAATGTAATCTGGTTTTGCTCCAAAGGCTTTCTATTATGTTATAGGCATTCAACAAATATCTTCTAAACATTTCCTTTTCTTAAAGTGAATACAGTCCCGTTCATATCTTGATTTTCCCATGTTCTCACTCTATACAAGTAAAACTTAGGGGAATAAGATTATTTCTTAATTGGGATTCTTGCACGCGAAGAATCCAGAACATTGCCATGGGAGGGATCTGTAGGATTAAATCTGTAGACTGAGTTTAAAGACAATTAGGTAATTAGAAAGGTCTCTGTCTCACAAAGCAGTCAGTATGAGTCCACAGCTTTCTTTAACTTAGACCATGAATAGCCACACTGGGTCATATGAGCTTTCTTCATTTTAGTGTGGGCCAACCAACTTCATTCTCAGATGAACATTCAAAACACCAGACTTCAAGTTCTTCTCTACACTCAATCATGTTCCCAATGACCTCCAAATTTCTAAAAGCCCATTACACATTTAGCAGCCTTCAATTATTGCACTTAGCTTACTGAATTCTAAATAGGACCTTCTGAGAACAGAGAGTAAGGTTCCCACTTTCATTCACAAAACCATAATCTTTCTTCATGTCAATTCAATGTTTCAGTTTTTCTGGATCTGGGAAGCCTTCTTGATCTGTTTCCATATCTGTCTTCCCAGAAGATAAGGAGTCTTCAAGAAAGGAGATTTCATTTTACTCCTCTTTGTAGATCCCCTGAACTTAACCCAGTTCCTAAATGTTGTCTGAACTAATTAATAAACAACTCAGGTACTTGTTTACCCTCATGAAAAAAACATCTACCTGTATAAATTCATATATTCTAGTTAGGCTTGTGAGAGCTTGAGGAAACAGTGTTTAACTGATATCACCACAAAATCCCTATAATGTTGGATGTTATGACATTCCTGGGGTCTAACTATATTTAAAGAAAACTTTTTTTCATCTAAGCATTGAACCCAAAGAAAAAATTTCTTAATTTCATGCCCTTAATTAATATATCCTCAGAGAGTTAAATAATTTATGGTTAATTTTAAGTAAAATAAATGCTTTCCCAAGCCTGGATAGATGGTCATATACTTTTTAGTTTTAAAACTTTACAAATCAATTTCTATGAGGCCATAAAATTGCTTTATGAAAGTAGGGACGTGGGAGTTCCTCAATAGCTAAAACTTTGGATAAAGCCATAAAATCCAAAGAAATAACACTGTAAAGTAAGTTTTACAGATTTTCATGTTACTACTGCAAT